ATATATATATACACATACATACACCAACAAGACACACTCACACACATAGGCATATATTCACACACTCTCACACACGTACACACACGCGCACGCACGTACACACATACACACACACACGCGCACGCACACGCACACATGCACACACACACTCGCGCGCGCGCACGCACACACACACATTCACATTTCTGTATACATCGTGTATACAAAATATAAAATATACCTCTATCTCTGCTCCAACTTTGCTACTAACAAACGATTTTCTGTTGTGATCTACTCACTATCTGTGTATCTATATCCGTGTGCCTCTCCCTCGTGTCCCCCACTCTCTCTATCTCCGTCTCTGTGTCTGTCTACAGCCAGGAAATACGGACAACGAAAAGACGGAGCTGTGCAAGAGATAGAGATGATGGAAACAGGTAAGGGTCGGACGGACTGACCAGTGGTCAAGACATAATAATATTATATCGCGCGAGCTAGTGTGGTGGTGGTTATAGGCCCAGTACTGGTTTAACTAGATATAGTTTTGGCATTTAAAAAGGTCATAGGTGAGCTGTGACGTAATGATAGATCTATAGTGCGGCCGAAAAATTCGTGGTGCAACTTTTTATCAAATACTTTCTCAACTATAGAACGTAAAGTCTCCAGCTTTTGCACATTGACTTACATCAATTTGTCTTGACAGATCAATACAAAATGTACTTTTGTAAAAATGTGTTAGCTCTATTCCGGGATATTCCTTATTAAATACTAATTTAAAAAATCCCAGTGGTTGGTTTCTTCTGATTTTAAAAGGTTTACAGCTGGGACAATATGGCTTTTCAAAGCAAGTCTGTCATTATTTTTCTAATCGCGAGATTCTTTATTGAACGCATGTTTAGAGAACTTTTTGTCAAAAAAAGGGTTCACTATAAAATAAATTTATTGTAACTAGATCTAGTTTTGGCATTTAAAAAGGTCATAGGTGAGCTGTGACGTAAGCCACTTGCGTATGCAAACTGTGTTTGAGAAGCAGGAAGTGTTGTGAATAATTCGATTTTCCACCTGAAGGAGATTTGTAATGTTTTATGTAAAGTAATGAAGACAAGTTTTTTTAAATAGCCTCAATTGTTGTGGGAAAATATGATTATGTCAAGACAAATTGACACAAACTGCTGTGCTATGTGTGGGTGTCAATGATTCGACCGTTAAAAAAAGATATTTGAGGATAAGTTGCGCCACGAATTTCTGACAGCACTATTGTTGCCTTCACAGTAGATCTAGTTCAGCGCTTTAGAGTAGGATGACGTGCACACCTCCCAGGCAAAGTGTTAGATCTATGCCATTCCGTGCAGCTCCGTTTTGCACTGTGGGCCTGTCTTTGTCTGCTCTCCTGCACGCCACACTGTCTCACTGGGACTGCTTTTCACTCAATACTTCTGTTTTAGACGTCTATCTATCTATCTATCTATCTATCTATCTATCTATCTATCTATCTATCTATCTATCTATCTATCTATCTATCTATCTATCTATCC